TGGAGAGTAGGTTCAGATTAGACATCCGTAGGAACTACTTCACAGTTAGGGCGGCTAGGATCTGGAACCAACTTCCAAGGGAAGTGGTGATGGCTCCTACCCCGGGGGGCTTTAAGAAATGGCTCCATGCCTAAGTGGCTGGGGGCACTTGAGCCCAGTTTCTCTCCTGCCCAGGCAGGGGGTCGGACATGAAGATCTACAAGGTCCCTTCCGACCCTACTTCTATGATTCTATGATTCTATGAAATCTGTCCAAATCTCTCCAAATCGATTCGGAGGGTTCAGAATCGATTTGGAGACATTAAAGGGTCCTCTGATTTGATTCGGATTCAGAGATTCAGCCACCGAATAGGGCCGAATCAGGGACCAAAGCTTTGCACAGCCCTGCTGCAAGTACCTACATGAAGAAGAGGTTTTTGATGGCTGAGTTACTGATGAGCACAGAGCAAGATCCAATAATGGAAGCTCAAGCCACATATACTTGAATTAGAACTAAAGTGCATTTTTTCACACTGATGGTGATTCATTTTTGGGAAAATTTAGTCAGATTTGGGATGGATTCTCCAAGGTAATAACCCTCAAATAGAATTATGACCATCAGAGTCTTTAAGTCAAGACTGGGGGTGGAATTCTAGTACCCATTTTTACACCCAAATGGCACTTACCCAGACAGTGTCTACCCTCTGGGTTTGCCAATATAAAAATATTGCCAAATAGTGACTTTACTATACCTTCTAGTCTAGACCTAAGTGTTTATAATCTGCCTTAATGCCTGTGAATTTGTGACTCTGCTGCCTGTCTGCATTTCAGAAATTCAAATCAGCAGCAATTCCATATACACACACTTTCTATAATCACTCTGAGGCAGATCATCACCTGGTGAAAATCGTCAGAACACTGATTTCAAGGGAGTTATGACAGTTTATTTCAACTAAGTATCTTCCCCTTTGAAAATAAAACAAATGTAATTCCCTTACTGATGTGGGATGTGATTAATAAAAGCCCTGATATGTGCTATATAGAGGAGCAAGAGCCAAAGGAAATGGTGCATGCAGTGTCCACTATTGGCTGTACCATCCCTGTATGTGAAGCTTTACCAACATGTAACAAAGTTTCATTTAACAGAAAAAAGACTCTCTCAGCTCCTGCACCCAGAGGTCACTGACTGACTAGTGTCATGTTAGATGCACTAACTCCTTTTGACTTGTCAGCAAAAATTTATCTTATTTTCACAAGACATTGTAGCACTTGGCCCATGATATTTTCAGTTCCTAAAAACAGTCTTCTAGGGAGGCTATTAACAGCATGCAGCCCATCCTAAAGCAGCTTGGGGAGAATTATATCAGCTCAGTCAGGGTGAACTGGAGCTCTATGCCCTACTTAGCTGGTATGCAGATACTTGTCAGGAAGTGGGACACTCAATATCCTGAGATCTGACAGCCTTCCAACCCTGTACGGAGAAATGTCA